TTATCTTGTCTTTTGTATTTTTTGGTCTCCATATAACGCGGTACGAATGATGTGATTTGTACTAAAATCTGTGTTTCTTATAGCGCTGTTTCCATACAACGCGCTACGAATTAGCTTGGTTTGTACGGTTAAATCCGAATTTCTTATAACACGGTTTCCATATAACGCGGAACGCACTTACCGCGTTAAAGGAGGTTTGACTGTACATATACCTAACTATACCTATATTAAACGCATTTGACAGCTTTTTCCCTATTTATTGCGATTGCATTCTCGATAGATTGATTTCTCATGTAGTTAGGAAATAAGGCGGATCATTACAAAGTAAATCAGGATGACCTATCGCACAAAAGACTACTTCGCGATTTTGGGGCCAGCGAAAAACTCGCCGAAGAAATGTTGACGGACAAAGGTATTTAAATATTAACAACACACGTGCGAACCATAGTTTCGACTCACGGGAATTGCCAATTGAAAAAAAAAATTAATCCAATTGGAATACTTTTTTTTTTTCCTTTGTTTTGTTTTTTTTTGTTCATCGATAGATAAAAATCAATTGAAAAATAAAAAATAATACAGATCAATAATAATATAGCACACGCATAAATAAAATAACATAGTAAGAAATAAATTCTTGAAACTCGTATAAAATATAAATTTACACACGTAATATAACCTATTATTTATTAAGTCTGTCTATCACGAAATTTTGAATCAGCACAAGAACTAGCACCACACCCCTCATCTTTGTCACTATTGTAATAAATTCAATCGATAAACAGTATCAATCGAATTGTATAGTAGCTTCATTAGTATGAATCGCGTTAAGGGGTTACATGGTTTTGGGACTTTCAAAAAAATTTTTTTTTTTTATCTTTTTAAATTCTACAACTCATCTAGAATATTGTATTCAATTTTAAAGTCGATAGGAGTAGTAGTTTAAAAGTTAGAGCCTTGGGAAGTTCCACTCTTTAATGGTTCTTATATCAGCACTCAAATCTTTAAACGCGTTTTTCTCAAAACGCTTTTTCTAAAGTCGGTTGTCAAGATTTCTCGAAAACTATTTAACCGATTTTCATGAAATTTGCTACACGTCTTCGTGATGCTATTGAAAAGGACTTGGACGAATGATTTTCGTTTTTTTCATAAAATCGAATTTTAAGAAACCAAAATATGGTGAAAATTGTAGCGAAATTTGAATGTTCTTGCTAAAAACGTTGGCAAAAATCCAAATTTCAATTTTTTTCTTTTTCCTTCGTCCAGTTTCTAGTTTTAAGTATTCACTAAAAGACCCTATTTTTTCAACARARAAACCCCCACYGTTTATAAGTTCTACTGTCAACGCGAAAACACTTTTTTTCGGTGGGGTCACCGGAAATGACGTCGCAATGGCTGAGTTTAAAATATTTTTCAACCAAAATTTCAGAAAATGTTCTTTAAATATGTATCTTAAATGCTATAAAAAGTTTGAGTATGAATTCCATTTTTTATATAGAAAAAAAAATTGTTGAATATGTGCTATTTTTTCCCGGTGTAAACCCATGTAACCCCTTAAAGCATACGTAGTTATTGTATTATAAAATATCTCGTCTCGCTATTAAATGTATTTGATTTAGAAATAAATAGTGAGACAAATGAAGCACCAAAAAAAACACACACAGGGACATAGTGGCAAATGTTAATAACACACACACACACACCCACACCCAAGCACATTCCCAACGTTGTGTAATAATTAGACGCGTGTTATTATATATCATTTTTGCCGACGTTTGTCACTTGTTCGACACCTGTTCACAATTATATCTGTATCCTGACGAGCGTTCTCGCATGGATGAGAAACAGTACCCGGAGGAGACAAATACTCGGCCCGACGTGACGCGAAAGAACCGGAAACATTGGCGACCTTGGAGAGATGCTTCCGTTTATTGGCTGGCGCTAGAAGAAACTCGGCTGCTAGGACACCCTCGAATCCTGGTACACTGCTTGGTCGTTGCCTGAAACGGCCAATATTCGATCGCATAAAGCACCGTGTGACACGCATGGACCACAATCTTTTCGATGTTATCTGGCCCGCTTTTAAAAAATACGGTTACCCGACTGCTGCTAGCAAGACCAGCAACAGCATCAATTCTATTATGAGCATTGACGATACCACCGTCGATAATAATATCGTCGTAGTACCTGATTACGAAAGTTACGTGGTATTTGCCGAACTGTTTGATCCAATAATCCGAGAATTGCATTGTTTGACGGCAAGCGGAGATCTTCCTGATCACCCACCGACTCGTTTTTTCGACATTAACGATTCAACCGGCAACAACGAAGGAGAAAATTACGTCGACGAAATGGCCTTGTCTGCTTTGGAAAATTACGATTTGGATCCGTCCGCTAAGTTTGTTCAGGCCGGTACCATTGAATGTTGCAGAAATCTCGAGGATTATACTCTACCGTTGACCTTGACCGTTAATCAACTCGAAGACGTCGAACGGGTTCTAACGAGTGAATTTATGAGTCCGGAAATTTCTCTTATAATGGCCGAAGGTAGTACGGAAGACGAGGCTGGAAATTATTTAACCTTAAGCGAACTTTTAGATCAACCTTGTCCCCTGAGAGCACAATTGGCAGCGACCGGTCTTTTGTTACCGATTACAGAGTTCGAAATACACGACGCTAAACGACTTCATGGGAAACATTGGCATTACGGCAGAGGAGTTTACGTTGCTGCTGCTGGCGATTTGGCAGCTTGGGTAAACGTTCAGGATCACCTCAGAGTGATATCTCGTACCACGGACAATAGACCTGGCTTGATTGGCAAGGCTTACGTTAAATTAGCCAAATTGATGCGTTTGTTGGATCAAAGATTACGATTCAAGAGGGACGTTAAATTTGGTTTCCTTAGTTCTAGACCTTACGCGATTGGTAACACCTTAAAATTCATTCTGGTTATTAAATTTACCGAATTGTCGAAAGAACGTGATCATCTGAAACACTTATGCGTCGTACGTGGATTAGGAGTGTGCGATACTCAACGCAAGGATACTTTTAAACTTACCAATCAACAATGTTTGTCCATCACCGAATTACAAACTCTACAAGACTTTTCTAGAGCCATTTCTAATATTCTCCTATTGGAAAAAGAATTGACCATGAACAATTCCCTTAGAATTGCTAGCATGATTGCCGGTATATTTCGAAAAAAGACCAATGTTAGAAGACTTCGATCTTGATCGACAACTACGATCACGATCGACGAACAACTACGACGACGACGAATTAACATCTCTCTAAAGATAATCACGATTTCAACATTATATCGTCAACATCGATCGGATATATACATTTCAAAATCATTTTTAATCCTTACTTTTCATTTATTTAGTTTTATTTTTTATTTCATCGTTCGTACGACAACGACGACGACAACAATGACGACGACCTCCATTTTGTTTTTGTTTCACAGTCCGAGTTAGTAGTAATCGCTTTTTGTAGAATCATAGAGAGAGAGAGAGAGAGAGAGAGAGAGAGAGAGAGAGAGAGAGATAGAAAGAGAGAAAGAGAGAGAGAGAGAGAGTGTGTGAGAGAGAGAGAGAAAGAAATTTTTCGATTGTTTATTTTCCTTTCGTGGGGTTACGTTGGAAAGATGTGTGAACGGTTGTTTTAATTAAATCTCGTGCATCGAACATTGTTATCCAGTTTGAATAATTATTTTAGTAAAACAATAAAACACATATTGAGTGGATTATTTGCCGAGAAGATGGTCGCATTTTTTATTAGGTTAGTAAAACATTGACAAAAATATATAACAAAAAATATAAATAAATTCTAATAATATTGTTTTCGACACATCGTTTAATCGCACATTCTTATTGTCAAAAGTATGCTTTTTATTTTTTTTTTTTTTTTTTTTTTTTTTTTTTTTTTTTTTTTTTTT